TACAGAAGCCAAGCAGGCATCAATTTAGGTCAATAAAGGTCTTTCCACTGATGCTTTGCTGGAGTTCAGATCAGTGTATGAAGCAAATTTACTTATGAATTTGTAATTGCTTGTGAAAGATGGTAGTTTAACTCCAAAATGCTGATGATTTAAGCCTCTGGATCAGCAAATACATCTACGTAAACTGGTGCAACTCTGCTCACAGTTCTAAGTAAACAAGAACCCAAAAATTGCTGTTATGCCCTGAAGATACAATCTTTAGTTAATTCAGGGATTTAGACCATTATTTTTTTAGCTGCCTCCATAGCAATGCGGTGTGATATCCACAGTAGGAAACCTCATGCCAGCAGCATCTCTGAAATATGCTAAAACAATCTAAATTAGAAAATGTCAGCTTCTTGGCTGATGTTCTTTTGGAGTTTCTTTCTTCCTTTCTTGTGCCTCTATAATTTTATTGGGATGACTAAATCTCTGAACTATGTTAGCAGTAAACAGAACTAATTTACCCCCTGTTTCTTTGAAACAGCTGCTGACAGCTGGACTATAATTCAATCATGGATCTTTGCAGTGCAGACTGCAAAACATATTCATATTTTTTTGTATTCTTCCCTCTCTATTCCATTTGGACTGAAGGAGTCACACCAAAAAGTGACATATGCCATTTTTGCCTGTACATTGAGACTGATCTATGTGAAAACAGAGGCTCAAGATGAAATATTGCCCAGCCAAAAAGGTTCTTTGAATATATGGAGAATAACCACACAGATACACAATGTTGTTGGGATATCTTTTGTAAAGTTGCAATTATTTATTTTACTAGTTTGTACAAAAGGCTTCTGACAACTGCTCTATGAAAAGAACCAAAAACGTGTATGCATTTTTGCCAACTGTTAATAAATATCTTCTTAAATAAGGAAACAAATGTGTTTAGGAACCGAGAATCATTTTTCCTGGATGTGACTGAAAAGGAATTCAGAGATGGAAATAAATAATTCTTCTTCCGCGCTTGTGACAACTATTTACATAAAAATGTACAAACAGTGAAGCTGATGTTGAGCCTAGCGACAGAAATCCTGTTATTATGTTTAAAAAAAACCAAAAACCAAAACAGAAACAATCCCCACATAATATTTAATATATGAATCCTATACAGCAAGATACCATGGTCCGAGTTAAAAATGCAATACACCAACGCAGTGATCACCAACACTGAAACACCCGCAAGAAAAACTTATCCTTGACTACTAAATAGTGGAAGTTTAGGCATGATTAGCTTTTAACTTTCTAGGCAGTAGCTTAACTTCCTTTAGGAGGTTTACAGAAGCACTGGTTTGTATATATATGTATACAGTGTCAAAAGACACTTCCAACCTGTGCGATTTCAATACCTTGCCCTAAATAAGAGATGCACTGAGGGCAGTTTTGGCTGTTTATCGTAGATGGTCTTGTCTGCAGGCCCCAGGGAGAGATGGTCTTTTGGCTTCAGCTGTTGTCCTGCCATTGGCTGTCTGTCACTATTTGGCCAAAGTCTCACCTTGGGGCAGCTCGGAAGCTTGCTGGAGTCGCGCTTGCGAAGCATGCGTGCCGTGGCCAGGCTGGCCCTGCAGATGTTTGAATCACCTGGGTTGGAAGCTGGGCACATCTGGCAATGTGGCAACTGCTCACCGAGACCCTGGTCCAAAACCTACTGAAGTCATGGAGAGACTTCCACTTTCCCATGAGCCTAATCCTGCTACTGAGAAAACTCCTGGGGAAAACACCAATTGACTTAAATGAGATTAGAATTAGACCATCAGAAACAAGTTTCCAACTTATTTCATAGTAATTTTTTTCTTCCTTTGCTTATTCTTTTTAAAGTGAGGCATCCGGTCTGGATTTGATCTGTGACTTAAAGGAAGAAGAGCAGTGAGTGATTTCCAGAATCGGTCAGTTGCATTCATTTATCTTCTAAAAAAACTCGAAGGCAAGACAGGGAGCCAAGTTCCCACTGAGGCTGCATTGCCCTGTCCACTCGCTGAGCAGAGAGAACAGTCTCCAGGGATTGTATTCTGGACCCGTCTGTTGGAGGTTTAGGTTTTTGAACTTTGGAGATTTACAACTGGGTGTGCTGCAGATCTGGTGTTTTATCGGACAGAATTTTCTTTTTTATCTCCCTGGTGAAATTTATGCCAATCCTACTTTTGTAATCGCAAGGTATGCCAAAGTGTTGAATTGGTTTGTGATTGGTTACTGCTACTTTGTATTCTTATTCACAACAACTTTAATTGAGTTTTAATTGCGTAAGTGTGATGTTTGTGTAACCTGTGACTTTGAAAGAAGGGAAAAGAAAAGCCTTGAGGGATGTTTTCTTGCTCCTGGTTCCAGCTTGTTGGTGTGGCTCTTGAAAGGGACTTTTTTTTTTTTTTTTAAAGGTGAAATCAATAATAGAGCAGGGATTTTATCATGAACATTGACCCTGGGAGATAAGGTTTTCTAGCTGTGTCTGTGTGGTGCTGGGTGTATGTCCCAGCTTACAGCACCTTCTGCACTTGAGCCTCCATGTTTTCAAAAAAGCATTGGAACTTGTTCTGTCAGTGAAGTCAATGGACGTTTTCCAAGCAGGAGCAGGATCTTTAGCTGGTTTTCACAACTCCGTAACAGCTTAGGACACCCCAGCTAAATGTTAGGTTTAATCCCTGTTTCTTAACATTTTGCTGCTTTCCTGTTTCAAGTTCATAGCAAATTCAAATTCTTTCTGGTTGCTAGAGGAAATTTCCTTCTCTGTTGACAGAAAAAAGTATACCCAAAAAGTCTTGCTCTTTGGAATTGTTTTCTTCAGTTCTTTTGCTTGCCAATTAGAAAATATCTTTTTTTTTTTTTCTTAGACTAGTCTGTCCTTTGAATTTGTGTCAATCCAGATATAGCTTTGGGTACTATATTTTAAAACTGGAAGTTGCATGCAATTAATCTTTGGTTTTGCTTATGAAATTGAAGCAAACAGAGGGATTGAAGTAATCATTCTCTAACAAAATACCTGTTCACTCCAGGTATATTTTGTTCACTTATTTTATTTCAAACTGTGTTACAGGAACTACACATACTTATTAGTCACAGCACATTCTCGCCTTGGATAGATTATTATTTTTTTTAACTCACAATCAACACTGGTGAGTTTGCAATCTTCAGAAAGACTAATTTGCAAAAGTATGTATTGTAGGAGCCAATTTTGTAGGCAGATTTGATTTTAAATGGTTTCTCTGGCTTGTTTCAGTTTACAAGCTCATTGTCCGTAATAAACTAAAACAAAATGTGTTCAAATGCCACTTAGATCCAGAAACTGTTCCATTGTCTGAACTTTCAGAAGCCCAGTCCTAAAAACTGTTCGGGATTTTTTTAAAACCATTGCTGGAGTGCTAACCTTTTCCCCACCCCCACATAGCCATACAAAACCACTCCTAACAAATAACAGCTTTTTTTTTTTCCCCCCCTACAAATCTAATGACAGCCGCATGCTCGTACCACCATATTCCTGTATTTTTTTAAGATAACATTGGAGCTGTCATCAAAATAGAGCACTGAGATGGCATTGAGTTGTGTAGGAGCACAGCAGGGTTTCGGCACAGTCTCTGGGTTTATAAAGTGAACCTGGGGAATGAAAGTACAGGCATGTTAAGTTTTACTTTTCCCTTCTTCTCCCCCTTATTTTTCTTTCTGAGGCAACATTCCGTCTGTCCCATAAACTCACTCAGACATGTTTTGAACACCTGGCTTTGTGTACAAACATCTTGAGATGTCCCCTGCATGTACAGAGGCCGACACACGCACCCAAGTCACATCTAGTTGGAAATCTTTCAGCAAGGCAGGTTTTCATTAGAAAATTCCCATTTGTCAGAGCAGTCAGCGTTCTGCAGAAGTGTACCAGTTACGATAAACTCTGCAGGATGTGTGGGTGAGGTTTTGTGAGAAATCCCATCAGCCCTGGGCGGGGGTCCCTGTCCCTGTGGCTGGCAGCAGTGAGACCCAAATGGGGCTGAGGGCTCTGGGTGCCCTGTGCTCCCTTCTGTGGGACCTCTGAGGAGAGGGGGGAAAAAAGCAAATAAAAAGCAATCTACCAGGAGAAAAACACGCAGATATTTCTCCCCTTGGAAATGTAGACACTTCCAGTTCCCCTAATATTTTTTGCAATGTTGTCCTTAGATGTGCACAGGACACGGGGTGTAGATGAAAAGGTGGGGTGAGGCTCCTTGTGCCCTACAGATGTCTGCAGGGAGCCTGGGCTGTTAAGTTGGACCAGAGCTGGGTAGGGGAGGGCAAGCAGGCAGGTCAGCTGGGGATGCTGCACAGCCGGGGTACTTGGGACCAGCATGTCTTCTGAGGACACGCCAGCTCAGGGCTCCCATCTGGACATCTTTGCACAATTTCATAAAACAAAGACACCTGCAGAGCAGCTGGACTGTGTAATTTTGGGATTCACTGACCCCTTCCTCAGTCTGCCCCCCAATCCGCTTTTGGCAACAGCATACAGTGGATCCTTACAGGGTTTTCCAAGAGATGCTGATAGTGGGTCTCACATCCTGCCCCTTCCTTCCCATGCAGTGGGACTGTACCACCATTAAGATGTCTATCATAGGGCCCTTTTAAACTAGAGAGAGCATGTCAAGGCTTGCAGCAAAGACAGAGTAATTCCTAGCCAACTCTTAATTCAAGTTGCTTGGCTAGACATGTTGAGCCGGATGCTGCAGGCACCTTAATGAGCTAATGCAGACCTTCTTCTCTTGTTAGCTTCGAGATTTTTTTTTTTTTTTTGTGTATAAACTTATTTCTGAGTAGCACCTATCAGATATAACTCTGTACTAGGAGCTACAGTGCACCTACCAGTGTCTGTACAATGGCATGATTTGTAGCATTCATGTATGAATTCAACGGGAAAGCACATTCTCCTTCACAGTAATATGCAGCATAGCCCTCCGGAGCAATGATCCAGTCCTTGATTAAATTGAAGATGTTACATTGTGGAGAAAGACAGAAATATTGTGCAGTGAAACAAAAAGTAAAACAGCACATAAATCTAGCAATTCATACATCCACATACAATTACAGTGGCCTGCAAACACAAATCTGGTACACCGGCCTTTCTAATGCTCTCTTATACACCTCTAAAGCATCTGCTTTTCCTGGAGGGACATATCCCACTTTGCAAATGTGCCCATAGAGTAGCTGAACTTCAGGGTTTAGTTGTTTATCCATTCAGCAGTGTCCTCCCGGCTGTCCTCAAGGATCACTTCACCCATCACTGAGATGCAGGTACAAGCTTTCAGAAACAAAAATGACTTTAACCAGGTCTAAAAGAATTGATAAATGAATGTGGAGAGCTGTATGTGTGTTCAGCACTGCCAGAGGAAATTCAGGGCCACAGTTTCTCAAAAGGACCTAAGTGTGTTGAGTTTCTAGCCAGTCTCACGCTAAATATTTGTATACCCTAAGTTTGCAGAAGCACTTCTTGAACATGCTAAAGGCAATGTACAATATTTTCCCTCAGGGATTAAAAAAAAAATAAATCCAGTTATTGTCTTGCTCTCACTATTGCAGCTCGATAAGTGATGTGCAAAGGCACCCCAGGTCATGCCCCGGTCACACACAGCCCTTACCTGCCACCCTAGGTCCCTGAAGCTGACGTAGAGCTCGTGCTTCTTGCAGGCTTGTCGCTGGTCGCTGCTGCTGTTCTCTGCGTGGGGAGAAGGGGTGGCCTTAAGGCTGGGCTGCCCTCGCACTCGCTGCATGCCCCCGCACCCCCAGCCCTCAGCAAAGCCCCACCAGGGAGTGAGGCATCGCTGCTCATCTGTTTCACTTGTGGCTTTTTTTTTTTTTTCACATTTTCAGTTTCAGTTATAAAATAATGGCTGGGTTTAATACATATGCCCCTCTGGCTTTCTGTGCAAAGCCAAAAAAGGCCTGGGAAAATAGCTTCCCCTCCCCTGGGCATCCTCTGACCTCATATTAGCAAAAAGCAGACCTCTCCGATTACTGCCTACTGTATAAAAGGAGAACCTGTGAAAGGAGTGATAGAGAAAGGCACTCTCTGCCTATTTTCTAAGTTCCCATCTTTGAATCACCTGCGTTACTGGTGATAGTTGCACCTTCAGGCCTACAAAAGCAACGTATGACAGAAAGATAATGTGGAATCTGTCCAGTGCAGCTGGATCCAGATTAGAGACTTCTTGCAATGGCTGACAATGCTGAAGCCAAAGAATTGAGCATGGGTCTGAATCATGGATCTGAACAACCATGACTATCAGTGCAGTTTTAAAGTTGTGTCCATCCTGGACATACAGCCTGAGCTGGAGACCCAAGTAGAAATACCAGAAAATATCTTTTCAGCTCTTGTTGTTGGAAGCTGACTCAATATGGGGTCCCCAAGCTGGAAGCAGGACACTACAGGGATTTCTCTAAACTACTTGCAGAAGTCAGAAATTATTTTGTCCACTACCTATCCTTTAAATATTGAATTGATATAGCAAATAGTCTATAAAAATGCACACTTAAGCCGCAGATCATCTGTGCTTGGAGAACTGCAAAACCCAGAGCCTGCGAACACAAGCCATGGAAAACCATTTTAAGAGACTCTGGGATTTCGGGTGAGAGGTACAGAAATGCGTACGTTTGGGCGAGTGAGAGAAGCCACACCTTCCACCAGGGCTGCAGAAAACCATCACTAGTTCTAGGACAGGAATGACCTGGTTCAATATAGGGAAGCTGCAACAAGACTGATGGGAAACAGTTCTCCCGTAGCCTTGCGGGTAAACCCAAGCAACCCAAGGCAAAGGTGAGTCACCTAAGATGATATCGTGCCCTACGTTGTCCTTTTCCTTCCAACTCTTGCAAGCTCTCCTTCCATTCAGTGAAGCGCTTGCAGAAATAGAGCTGGAATTTGCCACTGCCTTCAGCAGAGCTAGCCCTGCGCTGTGGTTCCTGCCGGGAAGGTCACCAAGGGCCCGTTATTCTGAGGTATCTTGTAATTAAACCACGTTTCTATTTCAAAAGCTTGACAGAGTTTTCTTCCATATTAGGAAGCACAGCTCCCCCCAGAATAGCTGCAGTTCTCCTGAGCAACGAAAGGGTTTTCCTCTTCTGTACAAAGCTTTTGGGACTACTAAACTTTTTGGGGGCTAAACTTAAAATCACAAACTCTGAAAATCTATGGTATTTTGATTCCAATCCACTGAAATATATTATCATTTTGATGACTCACTGCTTTAATATAATTATCTTACATTTCAAAATGAGAATTTATTTCATGTGGGAGAAAAGGAGATTTTCTGGTTAGGTGCCTTTTTTCTTTTTTTCCCTAAATTGAATTAAGAAATCCCTCCGTTTAACATTGTTTCAAAAAAAAAAATATATTTCTAACTTTTTTTTGAATAATCCCTAATCCCAAGTAGTTTCAAACCAGCAACTGAACACTAGTGGTAGACCAAAGAGACAACAAACAGACTGAATGAGGGAGAAACCGTTCCCACGTTATCCCACACCCAGAAACGTGGACTTGGCAACCCGCACTGTACCTGCAATGTTCGACACCCGGAAAGCTTCCTGGTTCTTTGGCGTTTTTGACCGATTCTGGCTCCTTTGCTTCCCTCCCGTGGAGCGAATACTACGGAGATGGACCTCGGTGGCTTTGAAGAAGGCTACCGTGAATGGCTGCTTGTTCTGCGGGCCGTGCCTTCCAATAAGACCCGCCAGTTTGGGATTGATGCTTTGCCCTTAATAACAGAATGGACCGATAAGAGGGCCTGCAGTAACTTTCCATTTTCAGCAGACATAGTAAGGATAACAAGGAGGAGAGCTGCTGCCTGGCTGGTGAGGGCGATTCCTAGGCGTGTCGGTATGCGTCGATCCACCAAGGGCCTGGACTTAATCGGCAAAGCTGCTTCTGACAAGAGCAGCTCAGCACAGCTAACTTCATTTTATATTTGTGTGTAAAAGTTACATAAAATAGTCCTATATATAATTATTTTACCCTAAATCCGCTTAGCATTAACTTTTTCTGCATTCTTTAGAGGGGTTTCTTTAAGTTCACCAACCTATAATTTGAAGTGATCCTATAAAAGGCACCATAAAACTCAGCCCATAGGAACACTAAATTCCCACTGGAAGGTTATTAACTTAAAATAAAAATGCCTTGTATGAAATGTTGACAGAGTTCCAGATATACTGTAGCTGAGAGAAACAAATAGTTCAGATGTTTAGAGACATTTTGCTTATTGCCGTATCTCAGCACTACGGTACCTGATAACTTTGTTGCAAAACTGTTGATTACCGTTCATGCTTCCTTCATCGGGGGCTTTTAAAATAATTTGATTTTTGGTAAAAGATGATTTGGGGGTTTCTCTGTAGAATTAAATCAATTATTTACAAAAAACACAAGGAGGGGGTGGCAGTGGGAAATGTAGTATTTCTCCTTTTTGCCTCCAAAGGATATCTGGGTGCTGTTGTGAAATGCAGGGATGATATCCAGAATTATTCTGTTCCAAGCTACTCAGTACTGCTGCTAACTCAAAGTTATGTTAATGGCTTTTGTGATCCTTTTGCTAAGGGCAGAGCTGGGCCTTGTCAGCCACAAATCAAATATGCCAAAGGACTGCTGACACTTTCCTAGAGAAGCCCTGATGGGCAGCCTGGCTGGCGAGAGCAGGCAAGGGGCTCTACAGTCCACTGACAAAAACGTCCTTATCTTACTAGTTTCTGATTACCCTGTGAAAATAAGCTGCTAACCTGAAATATTTCTAGGTAATATTCTATAACTGCTGATTTTAAGATGAGTAAAGTAAATGCCAAGGCTTATAAATTATTGTCTTTATGGAATTGTTTCCATCTTTGCTGTTGCACACGGCCAAAAGATTGGTAAATGTGATAGATGCAGAAAAAGGGGGCTGTGGTCAAAGCTCAAGGCCAAGAAATGAACCAGCCTTGGCTGGAGTGCATTTTCTATTTTTCTAAAAGTCGGTAGCCCAGCGAGCAAGTCCCAAGCTGCAATATATGGGATTTGTGGAGAGGACCGGCTCAAGAGGTGTTTTAATGGGAGCTTGGCAGCAGGACAACTGCCCAGCATGGCCAGGCCTTGCAAGCTAGGGAAAGCAAAACGAATCTCAGGACAGGGCACCAGGAAAGCTTGGGCAAAAATAGCAAATGCAAAAACTCATGTATGTAGATTTATATGTGGACACACATCAACAACTTCTTTACCTTCTGCTTAAGCTACTTTCCGGAAACTTGTCCAAACAGTTTTCATTTTAAACATTTGAGGCTGAGCCCACAAAGTGCTTAAGCAAGTAGCTAATGCTAAATATATAAGTAGTTCCACTTGTGCTCAGGCTTTGCCAGATTGAAGCCTTATTTCGTGAAAACAAGCTCAGCTGCAGGAGTTAGAGCTCACTGAATACTGCTCCTATGGCTTTTCCTCTCCTTTAAAGAAGCCTTTCTGCTTCCCAAAGCTGTTTAAACTAGCAAGTACATCTATGGCTGTGGTTTTTCCAGTGTAAATTATTTAACCTTTGCCATGTCTCTAGAGAGTAGGTCAGCAGTATGCAGTGAAAGGACCCAACTTCACACTGACGTGTTTAATGGATTGGCATTAGTGCAGCAATCAGTAGCGTTTGACCAAGAATTCCTCATGTAACACCAACATGTCATGTTCAAGACCAGTATGGTGGCAGCGCTGCCTTAGGGGGAAAAAAGGCATGTATGCCTCTGTATGCCCAGAGGGCACAGCTTTATCTGCTTTTATGAAGCTGTTTTTTTAAATACTGTCAAAAATGGGATCTTAAGTAACAAACTAAGTAAACCTAAGTGGGCAGCTGCTGTTCCCGTGTGCTGCTGCCGAGCAAGGCGTATCGGGTGCTGGGCCAAGAGCTCGCTGAAGGCTACTGAGTCACTCGAACATTTCTTTTGCTTGCTGCTTCAGCTGATCCCCATTTTCTAAGAGTAAACAAATACCCAATTTCCACCCTAGTTATACACGTTGATAGACTTATTTGGCAAGATTATAAAGAAATACAAAGATCAGATAAATTAATGAATTTCTTTTGTATAATTTCATCTGGACAGTGCTTGAGATGTCAGATTTTTTTTAAATAGACTGTATTGGCTTCATGATTACAGATCTCTCTATGTAACGGCAGACGCAAAGAAAAGATGTGGGTTTTTTTCTTTCCAATTCACTTAAAGCTTCGGGGATTGCCCAAGCATATAGTGTTGCATCAAAATCCTGCTGTGTTTGCAGCATATGATTTTCATATGAAGTCCAGGTGTAAAAGCAGCTTTCTTGTTAGCGCACACAGTTGGTCTAAGTCCAAATTGAAGCTTGGGGAGCAAGGAAGGACATGTCCTTGCCATTCAAAACAGAAAGAAAAATTCATGTGTATGGTGGAGAAATGCAAGTGCAAAGGTGTGATGCCAGGGGAGTTGGTTATCGAAGACAAGCAGACAATTGGATCCTGTATCTCTGTATTTACTTTTTAAACACTGCGGTTGGCTTTTCTAACTTTAATGACAGGCTGATTAAAGTATTTTGTTAATCTATTTTGAGAAAGCAGCAAGTTGCTTTGTGAAGGGTTGGAATCATATGCAAACCCAGCTAGATTTCTCAGGAGTTCAAAAAGAAATGAGATTCCTAATTTTCATTGAGTTGAATACCAGATGAGAATGCACTTCTCACTGAACCTGGGAATTCCTGTCTTTGAAAGTTCTCTCTGTGATAGATCTGGCTGTATGCTTTTAAGTGTCCACTTCCAACTGCACCAGCAGAGCGGAGTTACTGTAAGTGTGTGCAACGTTGCAGCGCTTCCGTGGATGCAGGATCCTGAAAAGTCTCCATTGAAATCTGTAACATATTCATAAATCAGCTGCCTGCCTCCTTAATGCTGGAAAACAGGATTGATGTTGCTGTAAAATCGCTAGGTGAGGATGGGGGAGGACAGAGCGATAAGAAGACTTTATCAGTAGCAAAGTGTGAGTGTGATACTGTAGTATCCATAATGTTAGAGAGATTATGCCTGGTTCTGGCTATTGCTTTTCTGGGGACTCTGGGCTGGGTCTTGATGGTTTTCCTATACATGAACCACAATTGAATGAATGTGCCATGATCATGGACACAACTTCTGTACTTCCAATATTTCATTTAGGAGGCAAACTGGAAACTAAAACCAAGGACAAGTGTTTGAAAATGGGTTACGCTTGTCTTGGCTGTTAATTTGCCTTACTGTTTTAACTTTAATTTGTAAATCAGGTTGACTTTGAATCTTTATACAAAGATGGCAAAAGGCGTCAGTAGTCAGGGTGGGGACTAGTAACGTCCATGGTGAAGCTCCTGCTTTGGTATCTGGTTTTGGGTTTCTGTATTCACTGATCACTCAGGAAGGGCAGGTTAAAACAAACCCTGTGCACCTCTCTGTGCGTAGGTCTCACGAGTAAAATCACCCTTTCATGTAAATGACTCTCTGTAGGTTGCCTGTTATAAAACCGTTTTGCACAGCCTTACTGGAAAAGGTCAGAGTGTTGCATAAAAAACAGCAGCAAGTGATACCACAGATGCATATCTGGAGAATGAAAGTATGTCCTTAGATAACTACATTCAGAGTATTTATAACAGTTTTGAGCTGGGTTTTGCTTAACCTCTCCTGTGGGGCAGCTAGGCAGTTCCAGATGGTCCCAGGTCCTGGGAATGCCCCAGAAGATCCAGGGTACTTTGGTTTCCTTGCACAAGTCCCCAAGTGAGCATCAGGAATCTTAACTTTAATACAAAGCAGCATGACTTTTTAGTTAAGACCTGGTTAGGAAAATTCCCTGCCTGATTCTAAACACATCCTTTCTGGAGATGTTTCAGAGCCAGGTCTTCCCACCCATTCCCAAACCTCACAGGTTTGTACCATAAGCACGCTGCAGACCTTGAAGTCCAACCAGACATGATGTGACTAGTCATTTCTACTGCCACAAAGGAGATTAAAATGGTTCCTAGCTGTTTTCTGAATTTGAAAGGACTTTTGTGCCAATTAACACCAGCCTTCTACATCACTCAGCTGTATCTTTTCGTACATAGCAAAGTTTCTTCCTCTCTCTTTGATGGGATTGCACCACCTGCACATTAGTCAGCAGCGTATACATACCTTGACAGGGATGCGTACATAGCTAACACTGAAATGACTGCAGATAGGTTACCAATCTGCTAAAGCATTTGAGTACATCCTTAACCTGAAATATGTCTATGGATTATTTTTTTATTATTATTATTATTTCCATCTTAGGCAAAGAGAGGAAAAATGTGCTTAAGAAATCCTATTCAAAGAAAGAGTACTGAATGCTTAAGGCTTCTGCTGGCTGGGAATCGTGTACCTGAAATAGAGACTCACTGATTGATGTTGATGTCTGACACTCACCATCAATGCCTTCCACGGATAGCTGCAGGCCAAGATTGTGCTGGGGATTCACCACCCAGTGATTACTGGTTGCAGTAATGTCAAACACCAGCCACCCTTCTTCTGCAGCCCAGATTGTTCGAGAGTCGAGCAGGAACAAATCTGAATCCCTGAAAAAAAAAGAGGCGTAATTCCCAGTTACCTAGGCTTTCCACTGGCCTGTCTGTAGTCATCCACATAGATGCTTTAAGCCACACACTTGGTTGGCCTCTCAGCGATAGGCAGATTATGCTGGAGCTGGGCTGGCATGCTTTCCCATCTAATCACCTTCAGATGAAGCGCTTTTCTTCTCTTCAAAAAAAAATGGAGGATGGTTGAAGCAGAGTTGCACTGGTTTTGGGTTACTTTGCTGTTACAGTTAACCTTCGAGGCTGCTGATGCAACTTCAGAAAAAATCGCTTGCCAGGCACAGATTTGCAAAATTATTGTTTGCATATGCAAACTTGGTAATTGGGCAGACAATGCTGCTCATTATCCTTTCCACACATAATTTCCGGACTTTTATGCATAATTGTAGCATTGGTGCAAGCCAGCTGGAACACTGGTGTGCCATATATTAACATACGTAATGTTTTTTAAAATTTGTTCATCTGAGGTTACAGATAATTGATTGAGGCAATAACCCTTTGCAGTGTCACAGGTCTGCATTACTTTCGGTGGCAATTTTCTTTCAATTTGTTGCTTAATTTTTTTAAAGGCCACTGCTGAGTTATTCTAGTTGAAGCACTAATACCAGAAAATGAGAAAGATCCGAAATAGAGAGGGTTTAGTGCATTTGAAAAGGGTGAAATCATTCTGTATTTACAAAACATTTCCCGACAAATTTCTGTAAAATGAAAATTTAAGAAAACACAGGTTCTGTAAAGGAAGGAATCTTCTCGCACCAGAAATTAAGAGAGACAAAACTTGGATGAAAAAATTGGATAGTGGTGCAGTTCCTTTATAAAAAAACGACTTTACAAGAAGAACAAAGAAACACGGTGGAAGTGTCTAGACAAGTCCCGTAAGAGCTGCTTTTGTACTTACAGTGCACAAACATGATAACTTGTTTAAGTGTAATTATATCCTTTTGAATGAAGAAATATCCTTGGAAAAGCCTTTAATAATGTCCTCAAAGCTTAAAGAAAGCCTTATTAATTTTGTCACTATTGATTTGTCAGTGCAAATATGTATATTTATCTTAGTTTACACAGTGCCTCTGGTTTGCACAAAATATCAAGTGATCAGAAGTGAATTTGAGAAGTGCTGTCGGCGTACAGGCTTTTGTCTCGTAGCTTTCAGTGATTCTTTTCCCTGTCAGATACCAAGAAATTAGAGGCTTTTGTCCCACACAGCTGACTCAAAACAGAAATGGAGTTTTATTGCAATGTTTTTGCTATCTAGCTTTCCTTCCAACCTTTGTAGGTCAGAGCATATAAGAGATGGAGGCTTTGCTCTGTGAGCTAATACAAGTCACCACCTCTGGCTCTGTGCTGCCTTACATGAAATTAAACTTCTGAAATGAGTTCCTGCAGAGCACACGAGCACATCGCCCAGCATGCACACGAGGAGGAGGACTCTGTTGTTTCCTCACCAGTGCCCGATACCTTTGGATACCACACAGCTGAACGTGCAGATACAGCCAGTGCTGCTGAGGGTGCGATTAGTGCTGCGTGGGGCAGGCGAGGGAAAGCAGGGGCTTTCTGGGTCAGCTCAATTCAGAAAGAGGAGGCAAGGTCTGATGCTTGCAAAAGATGTTTTTGCAGATGTGGGATTATAATGATTGTAATTCCTCTCTTTGCCCAGCATGTCCCTGCCATGGAGGAAGGCACAGGAGAGGGAGTTTTGCTTTCTTCTAAGCAAAGTTTTGGTTTGTGGAAGAAGCCCTACATCCGAATTGAATTTGCAACACTTTCTTGCTAACACATAGGGGATCCTGCGGGGAGTATTTTGGTGGATGTCTGGGCAGCCAAAGTGGGTGGTTCGGGAAGGGGCCGTGGTGCAGTGATGGAGTGACTCAACCCAGGTGTTGGGAGCTGCTCTCGAGCTCAGTCAGCTCTGCTGGGTGCACCTAGGACAGCTGAAGATAAACAGTACGGATAACCCCCTCCCTCCACATACACATTAGTTACAGGAATGTAAGATGCTTGAACTCTAACTGGGGAACAAATTTCCTGGGGTTTCATCCCCACCCAGCAGCAATGGCCCTGTTCCCACAGTGGATGACACAGCCGCATGGACACCTCCCGCCCTTCCCTGTTTACAACGCATTGAACAAAATGCATCCCAGAGGAGCCAGGGACGAGGGAGTAGTACAGATTGGCCCGTTCCAATGGCTGAGTCCAAGTTTCCAGAAGTAAAGGGTTTTTATATTCACATACTGCATCATTTAAGCATGGCCCCTGACTGGAACTCATGATTCACACAAGGTTTAGTTAATAGCGACTTGGCTTGCTTGGTTTTTCTCCCTTGTAGTTTGCAGGTTGAAGATAATAGCAATAATGATAACTTTTTGTTTTTAGCTACTGCTCAACTACAGTATTATTACTCAGAAAAACCAGCCTTTAAGCTTCCCATGCTGACATGATGCAATCAGGGTAACCAGACAACATGAGGCATCAAGTACCAGGGTGAGTCAGTCTGGGAAATTGTATAATGCATTTGTTTTCCTGTAGTTACAGCAATGTGCAAACAATAGGCCTGGAGGGGAAGCCTGAAGTGAGAGAGATCAAAGGGACCCACTGAAGGGAAATGTCCTTCCCACACACACTTGGAACATTTGGACCCCAAAAGGCACCATGTCAGATGCTCTCTGGAGAACTTCAAGCACTCCTGGATTAGCACTTTCCACTCTGGCCCACCAGCAGCAGCCAGGAACGGGATGCAAGACCTGACTCGTGTTGCAAGCAGAGGCTCCTGAGATTGTGGTGCCTGTTCTGATGAAAAGAAACCTCTTGTTTGTTTAAAAAGAACAACCTCCCTTTAAGTGAAATGCCCTGTTCTCTGAAGAATGATGGCAAACAGTGTTGAATCTAGCTAACAGACAGCAAGCCCTTTAGACATCATTGTTGGACAAGACATAATAAACACGGCAAAGAAATGTTATTCTGCTTAGGCTTAAACAAAATTTGCTCTGAGGGCTCCCATCGAATGACTTGTCATATGAGATAGTGCTAGTCAAGTCTAACTAATGTGGCTGGTTTGGGTTTTAGCTTTGAGATAAAGATCTAAGCACAAAGGGAAAAGGTTTCTAGTGCACATCTCGCTCTCCGGTACCTTCCCTACCAACTGTATGCATATGTAGAGCATTCTTGGGGTGATGTGAATAACGGCTCTGCAACCAGGAGGCAGAAAAGCACTTTGGTTCCTTGGCCCTGCGTTCAGTCCCTTCATTTAAGAACTTCAGAGCATGTGAGAAACTATACTGAGCCTCTTACCAGACCAAGAGATGGGAAAAGGCATGTGATCCTTAATTTACAGAAAATTAAGCTGGGACATGGAAATGTTAATGTCTAGATTAGAGTTACATAAATTATGAAGTCTGGATCCAGGCCACAAGTATGTTTTGTTGAGATCACATCAAAATGGCTTAGTGTTCAAAGTTCTGACATGAGCGGGAGCGTCAAAGCTTTTAGCAATGATAAAACTCAGAGCTTTCAGTTCAGTTTTCTCAAGCATCAGGCTGTCAGTGGAGCCTAAGATGAGGATGGGAGGTTGGCACTTGTCTACTGAATGCTTTGGTAGTGTCTGGTACTGGATGCCAGAGAGAAGAGTCACCTCCTGTTTGACAGCACTCCCAAAGATGTATCTACAGGTCATATAACTGCTGTGTGGTCTATCAAATTTGCTTCATGAACTTGTTTTCTGGACTCAAGGGTGAATAACAGGTGTTGCAAAGTGAGGGTGCTGGGGAGGATGCAGGTGAGATCGTGTCTGGAAAGCAGCCGGAGTTATGGAGGTGGAAGGGCTGAATATAATAAGAAAAGGAATCACAGGTGATTAGTGGAAGAGAAAAGGACTGGAAGAAGTGAGACTTGTCGGGGTGACTGGAGAAATTAGGAATTAGAAACAAAATACAGAAAAGGTAAGAGTATCCTGAAAGGAAACAGTGATGAAGAGAGTTACCATGTTGCAACGCAGTAATTCTAAGACAAGAGAAAGGGTTAACAGCCATGAAGCTTCATGAAAATAGTATGATTGGGCTCTTTGCCTTTTGCTGGGGTATTTTTTCAGCTTCTAGGATGCACTTTGGTTTGAAGCCATAAACACTAGAAACATATCCAAAAACCAGAAGCGCAGCACCTCCCCTAATCACCTGCCTTGATGAATTGGGGCACATGGAAGAGCATGGACTAGCGAGAGACTCAGTGAAAATACGAGAGTTGGCAATTCTGCAATAGCAAGAGAGGTCAGGAGAAGAAACTCTGCATTTATAAACGATAATGCTATAAGGTTTACGCTGCTCTAGGGTAGCCCTCTTACTAAACAGCCCCTGCTTTTGCATCTGTTTTCTTCACTCACTTTCCCCATCCCCCTTGTCAGCTCTGTTATTTCAAGCTGCTGGTTGACAACTGGTAGTAAACACTAATGAGCACTTCCAAGTGGGATAAAAATAGATGGGAAGGACAAAAGGCAGCAGCGAAGGTGACTCTCAGCAACTTTCATGACATTGCAAGACAAGCTGATTTCAGTGACGTGCTGGCACTCTGGGCTGGGAGCAGACTTGGAGCCCTGGCTGACCTGCCCATGTCCTGGCAGCAGCCAGTGGGCAGCTGCCAGCGGGTCCTGCAGTCCCCTGCCTGCGTCCAGGTAACCTGCCAGCCCGAAGGGCACACCGAGGCTGCCCGGCAGCTGCACTGCTCTAATCCCTATCTGCTAGTTTGAGGAATTACAGATCTAACAGTGTTTTAAACAATAACCATACTGTGACACCTTGCAACAGACTTTGAATGGTTTTACAAATATGGCTCAACCCTCCCGCTTATGTTTTAAAGTGGGAAACACTTGAGGCACGGATACGTTAAATGTCTATTGACTTGGCATGTGAACCACAGCCACTAAGCTGGGAGCATAGTCCTATCCTGTCTGGTATTCTAACCCTAGAGGGGCTCTTTGGGTTGCAGGCATGGTA